CTGGTTTCTCCAAAATTACCTACCCCACCTTTAATACATTTGGTACAGAAGGTGAACTGATGTTTGAGTATTATAACGTTATTCTCATTATAATTACAACTAATGATATTGCTTTTTTTCACGTGAAGAAAAACTGCTTGAGCTAAGGCATGTATTTTTTCTTAAAACATGTAGACATTTTTTTGAATAAATAATCATTATAAAATAAAAAAATAAAATGTTTTATAGATTATTATAGTAATATTGCAACTTGCTCCTTGAAAAATAAGGACTTTTCCACATTAACAAAATATTACAACTTCTCAAAGAACACAGTTATGTGGGATATGTTTTGAACAAGATTAGAAATCTTGCTGAAATACGTCCAGGGGCTTGAAATAATGCTGCATGCACATTCACAGAGGTTTCGTACCAAAACAAAACACAAAGAGGACGAAAGAGTTACTCATTCCTACGTGTGTCTGAATTAGCAGGACTGAGAATATTATATCCTATTGTATTTACATATTTTGCCACGTTGCACTTCAATTTTGTGTTTCCCTTTACATAAATTAAGCAATTTTCGCCATAAATTGGTGCATACAAATCCACCAGAATGCAGCAAACGAAGAATTTGACCTCAAAATGTATACTGTGTCTTATAATGTGTCCCGCATATGTTTTAAACCTTCTCCCTTTGAAAACCCCAGCAGGGAATATTCAGAGATGACTCTTTATTGTAGACCATAGCACCCTCATGTGGTTAAACGAACGTTACTCACTTTCTGTAGCTTTCTCTGCCGCAGCATCATCTGACCTTCCTCCACCCTATCTTCTCCTGCAGTACTCTCTCCCAGTGCTGCCATGCTGTCGTGGCGCTGCTCTACCCCTTTGTGTGGCAGCACACTTACATCCCTGTGCTGCCGTCGGCCATGCTGGACATTGTGTGCACCCCCACCCCGTTCCTGGTGGGCCTGCTGTCCAGCTCCCTGCCCCAGCTCACTGAGCTGCCCCTGGAGGAGGTCAGAGACATAATGATTAGCAGATACTGTATGAAGGAAACTGGAGTCATCAAAAGAACCTTTGACTTATTTGCATCTGTAGAGTTTTATCACTGTTGTTGTATGACCCTAACCGTTTCATTGCCAAACAATAACCATTAAAACATTTCTTTGTACAGGTTCTGGTTGTGGATCTTGAAAACAGTCGATTCCTCAGACAGGTAGGCCAAGGGTTGAATTATATTTGTGCGCGTTTTTATGGTACTTCATGACACTTATGGATATGGACCAAATTATTGAATCCTTTGTGTACTAAAAAATGGATTTTCGATTCGCCATTCGTCCCATTTAGTTGGACGATGAAGACTCCATTCTGCCATCTAAGCTCCAATCAGCCCTGGAGAATGTTCTGGAGAGGAGACGAGAGCTTGCTAATGAGAGAGGAGGAGACACACCTGGTGGTGAGATTTAGTAAAGACTGAAAGTGAAAAATAGCCATGAATGCTATTTCATTTATCAATGAAGCAACCTCAATACCTTCGTTTATCCTCTTCTGTGCAGATTCGGGCCATCTTAGCACCGTCGTGTCCGAGGCCTTCGTTCGTTTCTTCGTGGAGCTGGTAGGCCACTATCCACTCTTCATCACCGGTGAACGGGAGGACGGCTACTCCTCCTCCTCTTCCTCCTCACCGGTCCCCTGCTACTTCCAACGCGAGAGTTTCCGTAAAGCGATCCCGTCTAAGACAGTGCGCCGGTTCCTGGAGGTCTTCATGGAGACCCAGATGTTTGGCTGGTTCATCCAGGAACGAGAGCTCCACAGGCAGGCTCTGAGAGGTGAAGAAGGGCAGTGAAAACAAGAGGTTTGGGTGTTGGGAGGTTATCCAGTGACTCATGATTTTCTTTCTTTTGTCAGGATTATTTGAAGTGAGGGTGCAGGAGTATCTGGACTCTATCCACGAGAATGAACATCGGAGGGTCAACAGGTTTCTCAAAGGCTTGGGTAAGGTTATTTCCCAGAAGTCTGTTCCAGAATATCTGTTGGTGGTTAAATCTCACCTAACAACACTCTTGTTTCTTTTCCTTTACTCCAGGGAATAAAATGAAATTTCTTTCCAAGAAATAATGTATCTACAATGCTACACAAACTAAAAAGAAGATGCACCGAAACACGGAGATACTTCACGGACTGCAGAAAAAAGATAAAGGAAATTATCATTTGAGTTCTTTTTCAGAGATGCTTGTTGACACCGTTCTCATCTGAGTCAATGTTTGAGGGTGTTGCTCAAGGACTTTTGATACACATAGGGGAGAAATCCTGCTGTATTTCACAGAAATAAAACCCCCAAAACAAATGTTCCTGGTTTCCATTAGCACAGATAACACAATGTATAAAGAAATAGGCCCTGAAAGAAATATTATGGAATGTGAATGCTTCTATAGGGCATAAGGGGTCAATGAATGGCTTGAAAGGTACATAAATGAAGTGTGTGGTACTGTATATACTTTACCTCAAAGCTTTCAGACATAGTATTTCTATAAATCCACTGGGGGGCAGTAGTATATTCTCTGTGGTTATATGTCTTGACACAGGCCTGCTTTCCCACTCTTTAATGCTGCAGCTTTACTTCAGCCATATCAGTGGTGAAATCACACGTAAATAAATAATAATGAAAAAAAGTTATTTTCTTGATGTTGTGATCTTTTTTCCCATCCAAACAAATACCCACGTCTCCTATAATCATAGCTTTGCATATTTAGATATTGGATGTCGTATTTGTAAGCTTTGTGAATCTCTTCCCCCACCGTGCTCCAGTTTGTGGAATATGAATGATGAGATTCATTAACCCGATCCAATAACACTGTGCGCATTTACACACACTGGAAAATCCAAGACAAGTGAATTGTGTTCACTCAGCATTTGTGTGTTGGTCTAGCACAGTGAGTAACTCACCCATTTGCAAACAATTCACTGCTGTTTGTGTGTTCGAAAACTATTTGGCCCTTTTACTACAAAGAGCCTTGGTTCAGAGTTGGTGGCAGCTTTACTATTTTAGTCTCTGAGTCATGGAAACAAAGCAGATCTTGAGCCCACGCAGAGGACAGCACACTTTTGTCAGCATGAAAACATAACACAGGTGCAGAGCAGAGCATAGGAGTGTATTGTCTGAGGAATAGTGGGCTCAGTTTGTGCCTGGTGAGCAATCCCATAAACCCCAGGGCATCTCACAGCTCAGAATCCATCACCTTGTTGGCGAGTTCACAAACACACACGCTGACACGGATGTTGTAGCCTACAAAGTACTAGAACACTTTTAAACACTTAGGTAAAATAAATATATATTTCCAATACTGTTTTCAATGATTCATAGTTAGCTAGCCGTAATGGATAAATGGACTTTAACAAAAACCCTAACCAACCATTAAACTGTTTAAATAGTTAGCGTAGATGCTAGGTTAAAGTAGTTAGCTTAAAGTAGTGGCTAAATGGTTTAGTTAGCTTAAAGTAGTGGTTAAATGGTTTAGTTAGCTTAAAGTAGTGGCTAAATGGTTGAAATAGTTAGCTAAAATAAGCTAATGCGTAGATACAGTGGGGCAAAAAAGTATTTAGTCAGCCACCAATTGTGCAAGTTCTCCCACTTAAAAAGATGAGAGGCCTGTAATTTTCATCCTAGGTATACCTCAACTATGAGAGACAAAATGAGAAAAAAAATCCAGAAAATCACATTGTCTGATTTTTAAAGACTTTATTTGCAAATTATGGTGTAAAATAAGTATTTGGTCACCTACAAACAAACAAGATTTCTGGCTCTCACAGACCTGTAACTTCTTCTTTAAGAGCCTCCTCTGTCCTCCACTTGTTAACTGTATTAATGGCACCTGTTTGAACTCGTTATCAGTATAAAAGACACCTGTCCACAACCTCAAACAGTCACACTCCAAACTCCACTATGGCCAAGACCAAAGAGCTGTCAAAGGACACCAGAAACAAAATTGTAGAACTGCACCAGGCTGGGAAGACTGAATCTGCAATAGGTAAGCAGCT